TTTTTTTTTTATTAAAGAGATATGAATTTTGACAAAGAAAAGGTATTTAAGGAAATTAAGGCTCACCTTTTTAAAATAAAATTAATTAATTCATCTAAAGTTAGTCGACATTTGGTATAGTGTCAACAGGGGAAGCTTTTTCTTTGTGACTCGTTTGGTTGGGAACAAGTTATTCCGAATTAGTTATCCTAGGATAACTTATCCCACCATGTATATGTGATAACTTATCCCATAAGTTATTCCAAACATGCCAACCAAACAAGACACAATTTTTTTATCCCATGACTAATTAATTATTTTTATCCCTCACACCAAACGACCCCTAACTATGAGAAAACCAAATTCAGAAGAAAACATTCATTTATGCTGTTTTCTGTAATGACTAAGCTCGAGATGCTAGCTGTAATATCAATCCATTATTGGACATACTGTTACGTGATGCTGGCAAGGCTTTTTTTTGCCTGTTTGATAATAACTAGACTGACGTGGATATATGTAATTTAGTTTTCTTCATTATTGTTTACATGATCTTGCTTTGCCCTTGATTGGATCCATTTTCTTAACATTTCTTCCTACAAATCAACCACCGATAAAATATACATGGAAAGCCAAGCTATGTACAAGCTATGTTCTGTGTGTAACAACAATTAGCTAACATTGAGAGAAGCCTCCATGTGCATCACAAAATATTACACAATCGTATTCAATATATTTTCAGAAACAACCTCTCTACTTCCACGAGATAGTGATAAGGTCTCCACTTTGTGGGGTTCACTAGGTATGTTGTTATTTTTTGTATTCAATATATTATTAATCTTCCATTATCTGTTTGTTTTCCAGACGATTACTTCCTCTCTCGTCTTCCTGTTGTGGAGAAGAGGTTGGCGCAAGGTGGGGTCCGCTTGGCCGAAGTTCTCAACCGAATTTTCACTAAAAAAACATCAGTTGCTGCACAATGAAGATAAACTGCAGAAGAAAACCACTATATGTATTCAATTTCCATTATAACTTGGGAGTTCCCTTCACGTCAAGAACTGAAACCTACATAAGTGACTTATAAGTCAACTATTGTGTTTAAAAAGGTGTAATAAAATGTAACTTTAGATGCACAACTAGTCCATTATTATATGATAGATGCTGCTATCATATTGGAATATGCTGTATGTTGCTTTTATGGATAATCAACCTCTATTTTATTTATTAAGATGAGAGGAATCTTCAGCTTGTACACAACAAAAACCATTTCAACATTTTGTATATATAGAACAAGCCCAAGTTTGGTGGGACACTTCTGGTTTTTGATAACTGTCAAGTTATAGAACTTCTTTTGAGGATGTTGAGGTTAACTTCATTAAGCATTATTTTCTTTCTCTGTCTTGCTTTTATCAACCATCATGGTGCTGAAGCATGGAGCAAAGAGGGGCATATGATGACATGTCGCATCGCGCAGGTATATATTCTATTTGAATTTATTTGAAAAATGTATTTTTTTTTTGGCTTCAAATAATAAGAACTATTGCATGTGGAAACAGGGCTTGTTGAATGATGAGGCAGCTCATGCAGTCAAGATGTTGTTGCCGGAATATGTTAACGGCGACTTATCGGCCCTCTGTGTGTGGCCGGATCAAGTCCGGCACTGGTATAAGTATAAATGGACAAGCCCTCTACACTTCATTGATACACCAGATAAAGCTTGCAACTTTGATTATGAAAGTATGTCAAATGCATCAAAAAACGCGATGTATTTATTCTCTCTTTTCACAATTAGATCCTATAATTCATAATGTTTTTTTGTATGATGAAAAGGGGACTGTCATGATCAACATGGAGTGAAGGATATGTGTGTTGCTGGTGCAATTCAGAACTTTACTACTCAACTCTCTCATTACAGAGAGGGAACTTCTGATCGTCGATGTAAGAATCAAAAATAGTAAATTTCTTATATTGTGAGGTGGTAATTCACTTATGATACCATATAATTTGTCAATAATTACAGATAATATGACAGAGGCCTTGCTGTTCTTGTCACATTTTATGGGAGATATCCATCAAGTATGTACTCACTATTTTTTTCGCGTTTGAAACGTTAAATAATAGCAACCAACGTATGATTATTATTTAGAAAAACTTGTTACCTTGTTGTTTTGGTGATTTCAGCCAATGCATGTTGGCTTTACAAGTGATGCTGGAGGAAATAGTATTGATTTACGCTGGTTTAGGCATAAATCGAACTTGCACCATGTAAGTATATAACTTATCGAGTTTGATCCAAGATTTAAAGTTAATGCGTTCAAATTTGGCTATGATAGTAAGAAAAAAGATTATTAACGACGTATGTTTTCCTTTGTAAAAAAAATAATGTTATAGGTGTGGGATAGGGAGATAATTCTAACAGCTGCTAAAGACTACTATGCAAAGGATGTAAACCTCCTTGAAGAAGACATTGAAGGAAACTTCACTGACGTAAGAGTCAATTCCATTTGAACACCTTAGTTCCTACTAATAAATTGTTTCAATTAGACATTTTCGGGTTCAAATTTTGATTTTGTTAAATCATATACATACTCAGGGAATTTGGTCTGATGATCTTGCTTCTTGGAGAGAATGTGGCAATGTCTTTTCTTGTGTAAACAAGTGAGTTCTTTCTCAATTATGTAAATCGGAAGTTGATTCTGAAACGACTAAACGTACAAAAACATATATACTTTGACTATGACTTAAATAACGATATTAAGCACTTGTCCTTGAGAAAGTGATTAATTGTTGATGTGATGTTTCAAGGTTTGCAACGGAAAGTATAAATATAGCATGCAAATGGGGATACAAAAGTGTTGAAGCTGGTGAAACTTTATCAGGTATTTTTCACTTGACTGTCTACGATTTTATTGTGTATACTTGGGATACAAATTAATAAATTGACATTTAATCTATTTTAATTTGTGCAGATGATTATTTCAATTCAAGACTTCCAATAGTGATGAAACGAGTAGCACAAGGTGGAATACGATTAGCCATGCTTTTAAACAACGTTTTTGGAGTTTCTCAACAAGAAGATTCAGTTGCTGCAACTTAATTACCAAATAATTTTAATAAAAGAGTAATGAAAAACCATATATTAGTTCATGTTTGACCAAAATAAAATAAAACACTAAATTAGATGACACATCCTTGTGGTCTGATTTAACAGTCTTACAATTCATTCTTGTATTTAAATTCCTGTAAATTGTAATTACCCACAGAGATGTACTAAAAGTGTAATTACATGTACTTAGCTCGTTTCATCTTTAAATATAAAATGGTAATTTATATATTTGACTATACTATATATCGCATCTTATGATTCCTATCTCCAACCCACCTCTATTTTACTCTTCATTTTCTATATTTGGAGAGTAAAATAGAGAATTGGCTCTCCAACTACCCTCCATTTCACTCTTTCTTCTGCGTTGAAGAACTATTATTCACAATCTCTATTTTATTTTTTGATTATTTTATTATTATTTTATAATTAACACATTATTTTTCATATAAGACCATTAATTAAATATTTAACATATGTAATTATTTTTAAATGTAATATAATATTTTTAAAATATATTATTTAATATATACTATTTTCATCTTGAATTAATAATATTTTTATTTTATTTTATTTTCGTCACTTTAATATGATTTGATATTATTATTAATTGTCACTATGATAAATGCATAAAATTAAAATGATAAAGATGAAAATATTAATTTAAAAATACAATACATAACATAATAATTTAAATACGAGACAACATAATACATAACATAATAATTTTATCACATCAATTTTGATTGCAATTTATGTCCACTAATTTGTATATCATATAAATATTTATTTGCAATTTATGTTATTTAGAATAAAATAAAATTTTAAATTAAATAAAAAATTTGAAAAAAATAAAATTTATATTACATGAAAATTATACAAAGTAATTATTTGAAAGAAAATTATATTATGAAAAAAAAATAGAAATAATAATATAATATTGAGGAAAGAAAAAAAAATTCATTTTTAGAGAGTAAAATAGGAAATTGGGTTAGAGTTGATTGTCTGAAAAAATAGAGAATTTTATATTTGGAGGGTAAAATAGAGGGTAGGGTTGGAGATTCCCTTAGACACTAGCATGTTGCTTAAAGATAATTTTTTTGTTTTTTTCCCTAATCTGGTGTTCAGAGCCAACGGGCTACATTGAAACCCCGACTTACTGATCACCTTTTATCTATATAGATAGTGGCAAAGCCACCTTACGGTTAGGGATTTATCTGAACCACCTTCGACGAAAAATTATATTATTTATACATGGTTAAAAAAAATTTAGGTATATATAATAGACGTCAAATCCCCTTCGTCTACTTAGTGTGTCTATTTTTTTAGATTTTGAACCCCTTATTCAGTGGCGTAGCCAGAAATTTTACAAAGGATGTCCAAAAATTTAATAGCTAATAAAAATAATTTAATGAACGGGTGCACTTAAAATTTGTAAATCAAACTACGTAATATTAATGATTAATTTTTTTAATTAAAAATATATCAAAAAATTTAAAATCAAACTACAGAATATTTAGCTTTAATGTTCACGTTTATTTGATAAAAAGTGAAAGGACAACGAAAAAAAAGAAGAGAAAATTCAATCTAGAGTGAAATCACTTTTATGCTTCAAGATTTCACGAACTTCTTAAGGCTAACAACAAGAAATGAAAAATAAAGAGTAGAATCAAACGAGTTATATTAAAAGAAATTCTATATGGAGCATTTTCACTTTTAGTAGCTTTATGGAATAAATAAATAAGATTTGCTTATCAACTTTAAATTAAATAATTACTTTTAAATTTTATTTAAATTTTTAATGAAAAGAAAAAAAAAATCAAAAGTCAAAGAACATAGTTAGGGGATTTGAACCCGGGCATATCAGGTTGCAAATGACTTAGCTTGAGCTGAACGACTAAAATTACTGAGCTAAGAAACTTTATTGTTTTTCAAGGGTGTCCAAAATGTGTTACTTAACCATTTAAAGTATCATTTTACTTATATATACAGTGTAATTTTCGATGAAGGGTATCCGATTGGACACCCTAGGCAAAGGGTAGCTAAGCCTCTATCCTTATTGAAAATTCCGACTCCGCCACGATATATAAACGTAATTATTAGAAGAAACAAAATGGTAAACGTCAGCTCTTAATATTATTGGGTTATAATAAAGTAAACTAAACATGAAAGACACATATGGACCGGTTGAGTATAGAAGGTGACAAGTGACTTTGACACGACTTATAACGTAGGCACATACTTCACATGTTTACAGCATTTTAGGTAATACATAGCTGTCTTGCAAACAAATTAGGCTAATTTTGAATCGGTGGACGATAGATTGAGTTAATATTTCATATGGTCACTCAACTTTCAATAGTCTCTTAGAAGGTCACTCAATTGAAAATAGTTTACTTGAAAAGTCACTCAACTTTGTTTTATAACTCAAAAATCACTTAATTATAAGTATTTTATCAAGAAAGTCACTCAACTATTGATATTTTACGTAGAAAGTCACTCAACTAATTTAAATATTTTTATATTAAATTTTGTTAAAATACAATTTTTGTTTTAAACTTATTTTTTAAAATGAATAAGATGCTCATTTTAATTATTTTATTAATTTTTTTTAAATATATTTTTTGTTTTGAACTATTTTTAAAAAAAATAAAAAGATTGCTACAGTTTTTTTGTTTTTTTTTTGGATTACTTCTTCACTTCTTGATTCCATCTTTTAAAAAAAAAAAAATCATTTTTCAGCATTAGTTCCAGTTAGACAATTGCTGGAATAGAAAAGAGTTTTTTTTTTTGTCAATCGCTACGGTACGTTTTTCAGAAGAAAAATATAATTAAATAATTAGAGTGGGTCGATAAGATAATTAAAACAGATATTTTATTTTAACAAAATTTAATGAAAAAAACATTTAAGTTGATTGAGTGGCTATATAAATGAAATATTAATAGTTGAGTGACTTTCTAAGTGAAATATCAATAGTTGAGTGACTTTTGAGTTATAAAACAAAGTTGAGTGACTTTCTAAGTGAACAAGCCTAAGTTGAGTGACTTTCTAAGTGAAGTATTCAAAGTTGAGTGACCATATGAGATATTACCTCACGATAGATTGAATATGATTGATTTGTGTGATGGACGATAGATTATAGGTTCGAGTCAAAAGATAGATGAGAATATGATTGATTTGCGTGATATGAAAAAAGACTAGTTATTTACCTGCCTTAGGGCCTGTTTGGATTGACTTTTGGCTTATGACTTATAAGCCAAAAGCCATAAGCTGGGATTCCTATCTTATGGCTTTTGGCTTATTTTTGTTATTTTGGTTTTAAAATAAGTGCTTATAAACACTTTTTAACTTTACCCAAACACTTCAAAATTGCTTAATAGCTATTTTGGCTTAAAAACACCTAAAATAAGCCAATCCAAATGGGCACTTACTCAATTGCTCTAATGCACGGCGTATAGCATTATATAAAATGTTTTTATAATCAAATTATTAATATTTTTTTATGATAAGTATTACTCTTTACATTTAACTTTGTTTAGCGTAAAATTTAATTAATTTTCTTAAATATTCATACAATAGTACTTATTATTTGTGTGGCTGCAATATTTGAAACTTTTAAAATTATAAACATGTTTGATAATAAAAGTTTTAATCAAGAAAAATTATAAAGATATATCTCTTTTTAATGGATTATTTTTTTTTAAAAAATAGTGAAAAATAAAATAAAATCGATAGAATTGTTAATAACTTGATAAAAAAAATATAACTAATTTTCTATTACTATATGGTATTAAATTGCTAAGATACTATAAAAAAAATTAATCTTAACAATGTATATAATTTAGGTTAAATCCTTATTGTTATAACTATTTAATTAGCCTTTACTTCTACTTTTGTACGGTGTGTTCTAGATGTATTCAAACATCATTGGAATATTCTGAATTTTCAAGGCCAAATTCTTGTAGGTGTTTGAAAACGATTTTTGTTCTAGAAGATTTTGATTTCTCTCATTTATTAATTATTGTAATGTAATGTAAATCAATTAATTAAAGCCATGTATAGTGTTATACTCTCTGTACATTATTAGGCTGTCTAAAGATAATTTTTTATATTAAAAAAATTATTTAAGTTTGAATGATAATTTTTTTTTTATCTCAGTTTAATTACTATTACATAAATTGAAACAAAAGAAAAACAGTCACCAAATGTATATAGTCAAACCTCTCTACAATGACAACTTTTATATGAAAATTTTATGATTATTATAATGAGGTATATAAATAGATCTCATTTAGCTATTATAAATAAAAGTACGCAAAATTATATTTATCTATTATAAATAAAAGCACGCTATTATAAATAAAAGTATGTAAAAATTGATCCGTTTGAAAATCAAACAATTATAGCAAAATGTCATTATAACGAATAGATTGTTACAGGGAGGTTTGATAATTTGTTAGCAACCTTACAAAGGCCATGATGTAATATGTAATTAATTATCATATTCGCTAATTAGCCCTCCTCGATTGACCTAAGGAAAAAAAAAAAAAAAAAACAAAACGCTGTCGTTTGTTCCACCGAGATGGCAGAGTTGCCTCTTTCCTTTTGCCTTCATCTACATTTGCATGCTTTTATTTATACATATTTTGCAGCAAATCACCCAAATGCTTAAATTATAGCAGCAGAGCAGTTGTATTTGTGATTCCTCCATACCCTTTTTGTTTTACATTAGAAAAAGGAAAAAAAAAATGCAGGTGGAGCTATCAGATTTTGACCAATATTTTCTTGCTGATCAAGGTTTTGTCTATATAAAATTAAAGGGTGGCTCTTTTTTTTAGTGTAAAAGTATACTGTTGACCCCTGATATCCTGGAGAAAATCTTTTCTTTCTTATGGGGTTTCATCTTCTTCTTTAAAAAATTCTTAAAAGGTAATTCCTCTTTTTGTTCTGATTTCTTATGTATATATTATGCTGGATCTTGATTGTACCATGTATAGTTTCATCATTATTGAAACTTATGTTGTGACCTTCTGAGTTTTGAGTAGTATGTAATTAATCATGTGCAAGTTTTTTCTGCTATTTTATGAGTATGATGTTATATATTGAGCACACAGGGGTTCTTGATCTAGAGGTGGATCCAGGATTCAATTGAACCCACAGACTATTTTAATATTTGGACTTATAAAGCTATTGGGTTCAATACTGTTAATCCGCTCCTCTCTTGATCTATCTTGGCATAAGCTAACTCAATCCAAAATATAGCAGGGAAGGATTGTCCAAAATTATCTAAGTGGACAACAACTCATTTTCTCAATTAATGTGGGGCACTTTTTTATTTGTGAATAGTTAAAGATGTTGTTTTTCTTCTTGTCCTGTTTTGGTTGTAGAACTTTGAATGTTACATACTGTGTAGCAGATTTTGGTAGGCTGATGTTGACAATCTTTTTTAATTCCGTGATGCTGTCATTCTTTTCTTCGTCTGATTTTTTCAGTATTTGTCTTGGTCCCAGCTAATTTATTTGTAGAACTAGATGTTTTTCTGGAAAAAAAGATTGAACCTTTTAGTTGCTAACTAATCATACAACTTAACCAGTTTATGGGTTAAGAGATTGATGTTGTCTACCTCACTTCATAGATTGCTTGCATTGATGGCGATCACATTTCTTCCATTGCTAGACGTGTTGTCGTGCTCTGTCATTCCAAATTTGAATTTAAGTATGTCGTGTTCAGAAATTTAATCCAACGGATCTTTGCTGATTGTTTGTAACATTGTGTCAACAAATAGTTTGTTCTAAGGTTTGAAGTAATGGAATGCATAACCTATAATGTTATGGGAGTTTATATGTACCATCAAGTTGTTGTGCAATGATATCATCATCTCAGTAGTTTATACAGTAAATGACAGAGGTTTGGATTTCATGACACAGATTGACTAGAGTGTATTCATATCTGGTATGTATTAGCGAAGCTTGACCAAATAAACTTCAAATTGAAATTGGCATAGTAAGTATGGTTGCCCTCTTCATTTTCTTGACCAGATTCTTGTAAAATCTGCTACCAATTTTAGAATTTGGCACTTACTGGTCATATTTGTCTAGAGGACTGAGATTGTAGTGAGTGCACGCAAGATCATGGTATATTGTATATCCATGTGTTTTATATCTGGATCCATTCTAAGAATTTTGCTAGAACACTTCACATTGAAACTGCCACCGTGAAGAAATGCAAATTGTCTTTCCTATTTCTGCTACGTGATCCTAGGAACCATCTTTGTCTTGCTTTTGTCTTGTCCTTGACTGATATGCTTAACTTCAATTTTCATTGTTTTTACTTTTCCACACTTACTGGGATCTTTTTTATGAGTGTATTGCAGCTTCCTATTGAGAACTCACATCTACTTTCTTCCTTTTTTTCAGTGTCATTCTTAAACACTGAATACCATCTAAAGTTCAAACAGTAATTGCCTTCATAAAAGATTTCAACAGTAACAGTTTCGGTAAGGGGTACTCTGAACATGGCATTGGTAAGGGCTGCAAGGAGTAGCTTTAGGCGTTCTGGAGGTGCAATTGGAAACTATGCAAGTGAGAGAAATATATTCTGTGAAGGCATTTCACCATTGAGACATCCTGCACCAGTTTTTGAAAAAGCTGTAACAGGTTTCAATTCGTCATACATTCCAAGTACGCAGATGATAAATCAATTAAGTTTCGGGAACAGAGGAATGAAGTTTACCCCTCAATATCAGTTTCCACATGCAGAAGCTCAGACGGTTGGGGGTTCTGATTCAAAGAATGAAAGATCCAGTTATCCAGGCCTTGAAGCAACAAAACAGGGCGAAAAACCTAGAGTAGTTGTTCTTGGATCTGGTTGGGCCGCTTGCAGATTCCTCAAAGGAATAGACACTACTATGTATGATGTTGTTTGTATAGCACCAAGAAACCATATGGTTTTTACACCTTTGCTTGCATCTACTTGTGTTGGAACATTGGAATTCCGATCAGTTGCTGAACCAGTTACCCAGATACAGAAAGCACTGGCAAAGGATCCAAATTCATATTTCTTCCTAGCATCCTGCACTGGTGTTGATGCTGATAAACATGAAGTGAGTATAACAAACTCTTATTTTTCTCACTTCCAAAATGTGTCTTTAATATATAATTCCTCCTTTCAATCTAATCAAATATATAGACATGATTACCTACATCCATTCAGGTATTGTTTTTTAGGAAATTAGGAGAGACTCCTAGGTAAATGGCATACCAATCAGAGAATTATTCGAGCAATACATTCAAGTAATTAAAGGGGAAAGGGACTTTGTTTAAACTGCATTCAACTTGTTATCGTGTTCAGTCTATTATGTTTGTGTGTGTTTTGATTTGAGAAGACACAATACAGGTATACTGTCAAACAGTTGGCGATCGTGGAGTCTCTCATGAGCATTACAGATTTAAGGTTGCATATGACAAGCTTGTCATTGCTTCTGGAGCCGAACCTTTGACCTTTGGCATAAAGGGAGTGGAGGAACATGCCTTCTTTCTCCGTGAAGTACAGAATGCCCAAGAAATCAGGAAGAAGCTTCTTATGAACTTGATGGTCTCAGAAACTCCAGGTTATTCCCCCATGTTCCATAGTCTTTACTCTTGCCGTACCAAACTTCTTTGGTAGATCTGTACTCTGTAGGATAATATATGACATCAAGGTTATAATAGTAAAGTGAATGTAGAATAAATTTTGTGCGTGTGTAAAATTGCAGGCATTTCGGAAGAAGAGAAAGAGCGCTTGTTGCACTGTGTTGTGATTGGAGGTGGCCCTACAGGGGTTGAATTCAGCGGGGAGCTAAGTGATTTTATCATGAGAGATGTACGCGAACGTTATGCTCATGTCAAAAACTACATTCATGTAACCCTAATTGAGGTAAATATCCAGCTGTATATGGGTAAACCTAAAATTGCAGAGGAAATAGCATTATGTTGACTGTTGAGTATGGTCTAGTAACACTTTCCATGGACAGGCTAATGAGATTTTGTCTTCATTTGATGTTGGGTTGCGGGAATATGCGACAAAGCATTTGACCAAGGTAATGAATCATTCAATTGCTTTGCATTAAGAAAGAAGTTTCTTCAGTGTTTTGTAAGCAAAATTTCATACATATCAGGTTGGTGTCCGCCTTGTTCATGGTGTTGTAAAAGAAGTACATCCAGATAAAATAGTTCTCAGTGATGGAAGCGATGTTCCATATGGCCTTCTCGTTTGGTCTACTGGAGTTGGTCCTTCCAAATTTATTAAATCACTAGATATTCCCAAGTCTCCTGGTGGAAGGTACAGAGTTTGAACTTCTCCAACAACTTAGCAACTTCTTGGACCTTGGTTCCCTTTCCTGTATCCAGCCAACTAATCTTAAGACATGTTACAGGATTGGAATCGATGAATGGTTGCGAGTTCCTTCTGTAGAAGATGTGTTTGCAATAGGAGATTGTGCTGGTTTTCTTGAACAGACTGGAAAGCCGGTGCTTCCGGCTCTTGCTCAGGTCAGTATAATTTCCTGATACGTCCTTGATTTGTCTGAGCATGTTATTCTTATTCATTTGCATTTCTCCTGCCCCATTCTTTTTTCCTGTAATAATTTGCACGTTTCTTTCTTCTTGATCCCGCTTAGTTTTATGTGAATGGCCTCAATTGCAACTGTTTATGAACGTAACTGAGGCCTAAGTTTTTATGAACAACCTTAAAGTTGCATATGCTGTCAAGGATTACAGTGATACGTTACTTGAAAGTTGATCAGGTATCCTTTTCTCTACAACAATACAACAAGCTGTCTTGTTATCCTGTCTTAGACATAACTAGGAGTTGAAATTTACCCATATCCTTCTTCTTGGGTTGCAAGAACCGAGTTTATCTTGAGAAACTACTACGTTTTCTTGAAATATGACTGGAGTATAGAATTTTCTCAAAGTGCAATTTTTTTAACAGGTTGCTGAAAGGCAAGGGAAGTATCTTGTTAAATTGTTCACCGACATTGGGAAACAGAATGGAGGCAAAGCTCTCTCAGCCAAAGACATCACTCTAGGAGATCCATTTGTTTACAAGCATCTTGGAAGCATGGCAACTGTGGGGCGTTACAAGGCTCTTGTTGATCTCCGTCAAGCTAAGGTACATTATATCCATCATCATCTCTATTACTCTTCGACCAAAACATTTAGGGCGGGTTGTGGACTCAATGACTCTACATCTTGGATTCATCTCTTCGTGTAATATCAATCAAGAAAGAGCTTGTCCTGTGTATATGTACCTTTCCATACTATGTTCTGATCTTTATTTTGTTTGTCAGGGTGAGAAGGGTGTCTCGTTAGCAGGCTTCATGAGCTGGTTTATTTGGCGCTCCGCATATCTGACTCGAGTTATCAGCTGGAGGAACAGGTTTTATGTGGCTATGAACTGGGGAACAACGTTAATCTTTGGCAGAGACAATACTAAGATAGGATAAACTAGCACTTCTAGTAGGATTTTCTTGTTTTTGATCCATTTTTTGAACACTTGATAACCTACCTTCTAGTGTAATGTAAAAATTTATAAATAATGTTATATTTTTGAGGATTGAAAAGAAGACTGGGAAAAATGCTTGTCAAAATGGGAATATTTTTATATTTAAAAAAAAAATGAAGGTAAGGTAGGACAAATCAGGAAGGGGATTACAAGGTCAGGAATAAACTCTCACCAACAAGTTGAAAGTACAGTAAGTCAATCAACAGAGCAGTTAAGGTTTTCTGTCAAATGAGGGGGAAAATTAAGGATTAGGAATATTAGTCTATGTGGAAATGAATGAAAGTGTGGCGCTTATGTGGCATCCACATGGCATTTAGCAGCTTCAGTTAATTAGAAGGGTACTTTTGACCCAATAGTATGACGGGAAGGGTAATTTTTAGTCGGAATATAGTTTAAGGGTAAATATGAGCTATTTCGGATAGTTTAGGAATATTTTTGAGCCTTTTCCGTAATAATAATAATAATAATGTGATACCATGAATCATATTTGGTTGCATAAGTATAATAACATAGCTAAATATTTATTGTTTATTTATTTTTTAAATAAAGTTAATAATGATATAGCTTGTTAAACTAAATGTGAAAGAAGGGGATGCGTCTAACCTCCAAACCTCCAAAATCTCAAGAGTGGACTGTGAAGTTATCCTTTTTATATTTAATAATAATAAATGTTACATTATTTTAAAATGTTAGAAAATATTATCTGTCACATATTATTTTAATACAGTATTCATAATAATAATTAAAAGAACATGTAACATTATAGTGACTCATTATTAATCATCCATTTTAAGGGAATTTAGGCGTTAGATCAAGTTACACATGTATTTAAACTTAGTCAAGAAAAACATGTGGGAACACAATTAAGTCTAATACCCAAGTTTAAAAATATTAACATTGCAGTCCCTATATGTATAACATTCATATTTTACCATAATAATTTTCATAAAATAACAATTATTTCAACATATTTTTATAAAGAAAAAGGTCAAAAATATCTTTAACCTATGAGAAATAGTTTATGAATATTTTTTTTCTACCTTAGTATCTAACAATATACTTTAACGTTTATTTTTTGGGTTAAATATATCCCTCAAACTAACGATAAATTTAGACGAAAGTTTTACTCTTTTAAAATGCTACGATGCATTTACTAATTGATTACAAATTTTAATTTTAGAACAATCAAATCTCATCCAATTCTTAAGAAATCCAAATCTGTTGATTTCTCTCTTGAGTTTTATGTCTTAATCAAGAAATTTTGTTAGTAAAGCTGTACCTTTTTTATGATCATTTTTTGATGATCTTCTTTTGATGATAGTCTTAAAGAATTGAAGTAAAGATGGAAAAAGACAACCATTTCAATAGATATATTTATAGTTAATATCTCTTCTTCTTTTTTCTTTGTTTGGAAAAGACAATAATTTATTCGCCATTGATAAATTTAATTAAGTAATTTAACTAATTCAAATACTTAAGTTGAATGATTTTATTAATACAAAATAAGATATAAAAAACATATTAAAATTTTCTATCAAACACACAAGTCAATTGTGAACATATATACAATTATTTGTGCTTTAACTTCTCAATGTCCACGTTTGATTTTCATCAATGGCTCACTTAATCATTGGGTTGGATTTTTAAAATGGGATGGATTCTAATCAATGGCTCACTTAATTTTAAAAATTGGAAAAATTAAAATTTGTGACCAATTAAAAAAAGCACGCAGCATTTTAAAAGAATGAGTAAAATTCGGTATTATGTCTATTCCAATAAATTTTGTTTCCGTATGCAAAGTAGGCATAGTTTCATATTTAATAGTAAAACATATTAAATTATATATACAAACAATAATTAAATGAAATTATACCCTCATCGAATAATAAACTAATAATATTTACGAACTCGCCTAATTTTCCTAAGAAAAAACGCTCAGCCATATGGAAGATGAATGAAAATTAACTCCCAAAGTATATACAGGACATAACTACTAAAATTAAGAAAAAGTTGTACACAAGAAAGATTTGAGCTCAACTGCTCAAGATTCCCTACAAGGACTATAATACCCTTCAACACTATCTAAATTTACCAAAACTGATACACTCCATCTCTATCGGCGAGCTCAGGGGAGATGGGTTATTCTCCGGCCAGACTCAGATCGGTCACCGGTGGAGAAAATTGAAGACAAAGAGTGAGCTAAACCCAAAACTATGGTCATCTTCACTTGCCCTCTTTTTGGAATTGGTCGCCCATATTCCTCCCTTCTTGACATATTTCCTCCATTCATCATCATTATCTCTTTTCTTGCTCCGGCCATCTTTGAAATTCTCCGATGTGCTTTACTTGTAGTGAATTGTACTGACTATTTCGTCGCCGGTGATTGCTCCGATGATGTTGAGTCGCCGGCGTTTGATTGATTGTTTGGATTTGTTTTGCTGTTATGAAGAATATGAATGGAACAGCTATATATATACCTGAGTTGTTAATATTACCCCTCGCTTTAAACAAATTTACTATATGTGCCATTCCTTATCTTTATCTCCATTATTGAAGTTACGAAATAGTGTTGACGATATTGACCTTGTTGTCTCCCTTATAAATATGGTGATAAATTATTTCATTAAAGAATTACAGTAAATTATTTTTAATTATAGAAATATGATATGTTTTTTTAGATAAATTAAAAATAAATATATTATTAGATCGGTAATCAGTTCACTTTTTTTCTTTCAATCTATTTTTTTACTTCTTTTTTCCTTCTATTGCACAGAGAAATGAAAACTAAAATAAAATAGGGTATATATGTCTTTAAACCAGAATTTTTTTAATTGCAAGGTGTATAATGGAGAGCACATTGACAATTAATTAAGGATAAAGATTATGTTAAGTGGAAGCAAAAGTAAAGACGCTCCTAAAAGCAATATTTATAATCATGTTACATAAAAATCACGTGGGTATTAATATTATTGGTTCAAAATTCATTTAGTAAAAGCACTCATTATTGATTATTGGTATAAAGGAATTAATTTGGGGCCCAATTTCTTTCTGTCATTATCTTAACTTTATTTTAAAACCAAAAAACACTATGGAATCGTGCATTGAACAAAGACTCGTTTTTCTTTTATTGCACATTAAAATGTTCCTGTGTGTCACATGCATTGTCAATTATGACAACCAATTTATTTATTTATTTTTATAAAAAAAGTGAGATTTAATGGATTATTAAATGGATTGAATCGATCTAATTTAATATTGCCACCAACTATATACCCCAATTCAAGTTCGTAGAATTGAATCAAATTTAGAATATTCTCAAAATTTTGTTAAGAATATTATCAAATTTTAAGATATTTATATAAAATGAATATATAACATATATGCATTGTACAATTTTGCATGTAAAAATGTTCAATTAACTACCCCTTCTATTGTATAGTCTATTTCTTATGTGGGGTTCAACTCAAAAGTATTTTCTTTTCAATTCAAGCAAATATTGTCCAAATATAAACCTGAATAAATTTGAAGCATTAGCTTGACTAGATCTTGACTTAGTAGGGTCTCAGAGTTGTGTTTCCATTTGAACATAAAATTGTGCAGTCCACACTTGCACCATACCTATATGTCAATTTTTATTGATACCTTTTTTCACTTTCAAGATCGGCAAAGTTGACTTCCTCTTGTCTGCTTTTGTGTAATACTAGTTAAGTGTATGTGTTTTATACGTTTGGAGCATATTAATTTATAATAAACATATATAAAGCGGATAAAAATAATAATTTTGTTCACTATAAAACTTTTAAATAAAAAATAAAAAATCCAATCAATATTTTAAATAATTTTTTTACTTTTAATATAGTATAGATTATTTGGTAGGGAGCTAGGCAGTAACAATTGAGACACACCTATATACAGTGGGGGTATCAACGGTTATAGTAAGAAAATAAAAAGTAGTTATGAGCCCAACAAGGCTTGAAACACACGATCTTAGAGAATTTTTGCAACTCCCTAACCACTAGATTAAACATTTCATTTGTATCAAGAGGTATCAATACTTTTATATATATATATATATATTAAACCAAAATTTGACTTCTATATACAATGTAATTTTCCGGTGAAGGTGGGTCCGCCCCTACCTATATATGTACTAGTTTTTTGACACGTGTGTTGCACGTGATTATCAATTCCAAAAATATATGTTATAGCAAATAGTATTGCTTGTTTAAGCGAAGATTTGAATAATAAGCTTAGCAAAAAATAATATTGCAGATTCTTTTGTGAATGTTCAACGTGGATCATCATATATATCTCTTATTCACGCAAACCTATGAAGATGGTCAATGGAAATTTTTATTAGTTAAATGCAATAATGTATATATTTATTTCAATTTGATGAGGTTCAATTATGAAATTAGTCTTATCTCACTAATATTACCTTATAGACAATATTCGCTTCGTATTTTTCTTGTCATCTAACCAAATGTGTTTTGCATGTGTATTCCATGTTAAATTGTTTAGATGTCATATGAACATGTGGAGAATAACTACATTTTATATTTTAGAACTATTTTTGTATATTAATATTTATTTTATAAGTTATAACATAATAAATGACAAAATAAAATATTTTAAAGTTAGAAGATCTTGTTAACTTGATAATACATTTGTGACATATATAATACTTTAATTTAAATACAAATACCTACCCCAATATAAATATATATTTGCATTAATGAAAATATTTATCGCATAAAATTAACTACTAAATAAATAATAAAAATTAAACTAATACAAACTTCAACTGACATTATTACAAGTCATATAAAAATTTCTTCGTCTAAAATACTGAAATATTAAGAAATAGTAAATAAGTAAAACAAAAGAGCAATGTTTATATAGTAATAACTGTTGAAGATGAAGGAAGCTGGAGATTGGAACATGTCAAAGGAACAGGTCCAACGAAGCTGACTGACGTGTCTACAGCGAAGTGTTGAAGATGAAGGAAGCTAATGATTGGAACATGTCAAAGGAACAGGTCCAACGAAGCTGACTAAC